CCCTTTTATGTAATGATGTTTACTTTGAATTTATATTAGTTCACACAAACACTCCATCCATGCTTTTGTTCCGGCCCTCCAGTCCAGTTTAAGAACCCATTGTGGCCCTCAAGTCAAAAAGTTTGCCCACCCCTGGGCTAGAGCATCGGCCTGTGGACTGGAGTCCCAGGTTCGATTCCAGTCAAGGGCATGTACCTTGGTTGCGGGCACATCCCCAGTAGGGGGTGTGCAGGAGGCAGCTGATCGATGTTTCTCTCTCATGGATGTTTCCAACTCTCTATCCCTCTCCCTTCCTTTCTGTAAAAAATCAATAAAATATAGATATTTTTTTAAATCAGGGCCTCTGGAGCAGGCTACTTGGGTCCAAAGCCTGGCTCCTGTATTTACTAGTTCTGTGACTTTGGTGGAGCAAATAACTTCACCTCTATGACTTTCAGTTTTCTCCAGAATAAAATGGGAATAAAAACAGTAATGATCTCATAGAACTGTTGTGAGTTTTAAATATGACAATCTACTATATTCATTATAGTAAGCACTCAATAAATGTTACCTATTATTACATTACTGTGTCCTGTCTCCCTAACTAGACCATAATGAATATTATACCTCCTAGGAGCACTATGCTAGTCCAATGTGCTTTTCATTAAAAGGCTCACCAAGGACTCAGCAGTTTAAAAAGTATTGGGTTTAACAATCAGAAGGCCCTAACCGGTTTGGCTCAGCGGATAGAGCATCAGCCTGCGGACTCAAGGGTCCCAGGTTCGATTCCGGTCAAGCGCATGTACCTTGGTTGCGGGCACATCCCCAGTAGGGGGCATGCAAGAGGCAGCTGATTGATGTTTCTAACTCTCTATCCCTCTCCCCTCTTCTCTGTAAAAAAAATCAATAAAATATATATATAAAAAAAAACAATCAGAAGATCTCCAATTCTTCTGTCTCTATCACTTTCTAATTGTGTGATCTCAAGCATATTATTTAATTTATCTGAACTTCAATTTCTTCTCCTATAATATGGGGGAAATACTCATTACACAGGGTGAGGATAAAATGATATAGTGGGAACGTGCCTAGTAGGATGTTGGATAAACAGCTGGTTCTCAAATGTTAATTAAATATGACTCTGGCCCAGCCGGGTGTAGCTCAGCGGTTGAGCGTCGCCCCAGGAACCAAGAGGTCACGGGTTCGATTCCCGGTCAGGGCATATGCCCAGGTTTTGGGCACGATCCCCAGTGGGGGGCGTGCAGGAGGCAGCCAATCAATGATTCTCTCTCATCATTGATGTCTCTCTCTCCCTCTCCCTTCCTCTCTGAAATCAATAAAAATATATTAAAAAAATAAAAAATAAACATGACTCTGGGGCAAAATAATAACAGATCTGTCTCTAGGAAAAGAGAAGGTGGTATGAAGTGGGAGTCAAGAATGGGATTTGCTGAGAAGTTCCACTTCTACCTTTGCCTCTAAAATAAGTTCTCTCGGCTTTCTGTTGGTCCCTGAGGCCATGAGTGAACACTCTCCCCATGCAATCCCTTGGGGTGGTGGGTAGTGGGGTAGGCCTCCATGTTAGCCTGTGTGAGATTCAATGCCAAGACAGTGCCCTTTGGGAGCCTCTCCCCCAAAGGACCTAGGGCAGTGTCTGGCACATAGTGGGATCTACATAAAGATTGTTGAGCCTGGCCGGTGTGGCTCAGCTGTTGAACATCAACCCAGGAACCAAGAGGTCACTGGTTCAATTCTGGTCAGGGCACATGCTAGGGTTGCAAGCTCAACCCCCAGTAGGGGGCGTGCAGGAGGCAGCTGATGGATGATGTTCCTCTCTCATTGATGTTTCTATCTCTCTATCACTCTCCCTTCCTCTCTTTACAAAAAAACAACGACAATAAAGCATATTTTTTAAAAAGATTTGTTGAATAAAGGGTGCGGGGGGATTCTCCTAGCAATGAAGCTGGAGGAGGGTATCCCAGAACATTCTGCCTATCTTTCTCCTCCTCGCTTTTTTTTTTTTTTTTCACTGATACAATGGAGGCTCTCTTCTCCTACCTCCAGAGGTGTCATCCAATCTAGGAAAAGCACTGTGATTTATGGGGGAAACTACAGTCATTGCCATAAGCCTAAGTACGACAGGAACTCTCCTACAGCTCACAAACTTCTCAGCAAACCCCATTCTTGGCTCCCAAATCTGAGGATCCTCTCACCTTGCTCTCATTGCTGCCAGGCCCTAAGCTAAGTTCCGTCATAGATCTCCCACAGGCTACCTTTGGTTCCCCCCTCTCTTCTCCTCTAGGAACCCCATTCCATTCTCATCTCTAGAGCATGCATCAACCCCAGCAATTCAATACCCATCACCAAAGCCTGTTCTCTGACAGAACTAGGCTCCCTGACAGCATTTCAGGCCCCATTTTCCATTATCAATGGGCTGCCACAGCAGAGTGGAGAGTTCTTCAGTTCCTGCTCAGCCTCCCTCCTCTCAGCAGTGTCCCTGGGGGAGGAGGGGGCAAATTCTAGTCTATGTGATTCCTACATGTACTGGTGAGATTGGAGTACAGACTGTGCCAGCATAGACGGGGAGCGAGTAGCAACACAGCTATAATTAGTCACCCCCACAGCACAGTCTGAACAACAGGGAAAGGGAGGAGGGTCTCTGGTGGGAGGAGGGACCACTGGCTGCTCCAAAGTAGGGAGGAGGGGACAGGGGCTAGGAAAAGCTGCACTATTCAAGGAAAGGATTCTGAAGCATAACCTTCAATGTTGTGTAGACTGAAGGAGGTCGGGTGTAGGGAAGCAGCTAGTGCTGGCAGCAGAGTCAGGCCCCAATAAATGGAAGTTTCTTATGCCCTGAAGTGGGAAGAGACTGCAGACCTGAACTGGAAGGGCTAGGGAGGGGTCCCACAGCTAGGCACAAGGAGACCTCTTTCGGGGACTAGAGGGAAAGTGACAGTTTAGATTCCCGAAAGAGTGGGACACTTGGACCTGGTCTCCAGGGACAAGGATGCCTGGGTTTCCTCCAAGAACACCACCCCCTCAATGTCCCCTCAGGTCCTCACCACTGCCAGCGGTTTCTGGGTGGCTGGGGACAGGTGGAGAAGGGAGACCTGAGGGCTGACTGCAAGGGAAAGAGGGGCGCAGAGAGGGCAAAGGAGTCCAGGGATGGGTACGTAGAGAGCTAGGGCAACCCCGGGAAAAGGCAAATCCTCAGAGCTCCCACGCGAGGAGGGAAATCCTCCAGAGGCAACGCAGGAACTCCGTGAGAGCCCGGATTGTGGAATCAGCAACCCCAGCCCCAGCCCCGTGCAAGAAGCCGGCCCCGATTTGGGAACTGGGGGCCGGGGGCGGGTCCGCTGCCGGCCGGCACCCGGACCTACGCACTCACCGATTTTGGCCAGGCTGGCCACCAGGATCCACAGGGCGACCAGGTAGGGGGCCTCCACTTCGTGCCACTGCCAGCGGAAGAGCACCAGCCCTGGGAGAGGCTCGCCCGGAGACCCCGCAGGCACGTGGGACGCGCTCCCCCCAATCCCGGATCGGATACCCCCAAGCCAGGTCTGCACTCTGAGTTCCTGTCCCGGGCGTCCCGTCCGTACTCAGGCTCCCGGGCTCCTCCCGTCTAAACCAGCCTCAGCTCTGGAAAGGCTCCAGTGCAGCCCTCCCCCGGGTCCCGCAATCCGCCTACCCAACACCTTCCCGGCTCGGATTCGCGCCGTGAGCGACCACAGCGCTCTGAGTCACCTGCGCGTCCCACCCACGGGGGGTGGCAGCCCGCCGCGGTAGGGCTTGGGG